ATTGGGTGTTTGGCCCCTCAGCCTGTTTTAACAAGTGCCCACAACCGTGTGTTTTGTTAGCTGAGTGGGGAAGTTTTTGCTTGGCGGCTGGTTTAGTGCGTGTATGGAGTCACTTACTTGGCAGGCAACTTATACATGTAACCTTTGCCTGCGTCCGACCACATGATGATGCGATCGACGGCTAGAAAGTCCCCGGACATCCATCGTTCGCCCCTGGGGGTCAAGTAGGAGCACAAAACGCTGAAGTCGCCTAGAAGAAAAAACGGCTCGCAAAGCCCCCGAGGCTAAAATCAGGCGCGTTCAGGCTCACCAGCATCGTAAATCTGCCAATACTTGGTGCAAACAACCAGCACAGTTCGCTGATTGTAGGCGCAACATTGCAGACAGACGGCATTCAGAGTTCGGATCTGTTTGCTCTCGTTTTCGTAGATTGGCTCAGAGTGCTTGTTCTCGTGGCCCAGCAACGTCCACACTTTGACCATTCCAGTGGTGGTGAGCGCAAGAACCACGTCGTCCTTGCGCTTAGTGGGGCGCAAAACCTACAAACCCACTTGCGATGCTTAACGGAACATTGCCAAACAATCAACCAAACGCACATGCAATGCACTGATCCAGTCGGGGTTTTGTTTCGATGACAGCGTGAACAGAATTTCCAAGCTGAATGGATCCATCACCAAAATCTCTGGATAGTAGCCGTTGCAGAACAAGCGCACGTCCTCACAGTTGCACATATGGTAAGCCTGAAACAGTTCACTCGGAATTACTACCTAAACAACATTAGAATCATTATTTAACTCAGTTAATCATGGGAATATCCGAGAGCAATCTGTTTGCTCGCCAAATTAGTTACTATTTGATGCACTTACGGCGCAAACTAATTTTTACAGATTTTCTACATACAGACTTATAATCTCCGGGAAATACCTGTATGTTAGTGTGCACTTGAGGCAGCTTTACAGCCTCGCGGCACTTGCCATCGGTGATGTCCCACGTGCACATTTCGCCAGCCTCTGAGCTGGACACAATGTAATTGTTGTCCTGGACAATGGACGCTTTGGAGATGCACAGAATAGGCGCTGTATGCCCGACCAGCAGACAACGGGGCGTCATTTCCAGAGTGTCCGGATCCACTTGCCTAGAGACAAATGCTAATTAATCCTGCAGCTAGAAAGGCACAAAAGCATAGCCATACCACAAGCAGATCTGGCCGTCGTAGCATCCGGTTGCCAGAGTCTTTTGATCTTTGGACAGGAAGATGCAGGATATGCAGTGTGTGGGGGCAAATTTACCCCACAGAACCACCGGCACCACCAGACTTGTCCCCGGCATTTTGAGCCCTGGAAAACAACCCCGCGATTAGAATCCCTTTGAAAACATTTGTTGTTGTTTTGGTCAATAGAAATCAATCAAATCACATGACTGCTGCAGCATCACTACTGATTACATCCTTTGCTAATACCAACCGAGGCTGAGCAAATTAATCAAGATAAGTGGATTAAACTGGTATAATTGCCCCAAAATGACCGAAAAGTTGACGTTTTTATTGCACCTGGAAACCACTCGCTTTCTCCGGCTGTTTTCACAGCGGGTTCAAGGCGTGCTAATCACCAAAACAAACACCTGCATACCTTAATAACCACTGAATGGGGCGCGGAAATCACTTAAAATTACACCACTTTTTCCAATTTACATTTATTCACCATCTTCACCAGCAGTGACATATCAGCTGTTTCCTTGACACAGTTGTTGACAAGTTACTTGTTTGCGCGACAGCGCTGCCACGTAGCCGCTCTCCGCTGACTTCAATCGAAACGGCCGGGCCAGCTTCTCAATTGGAGTTCCACTTGAAATGCAATCCACTGGAATATTTACGAAACACTCTGCGAAAATTGTGGCAACAGCATACCTAACTATATTTGCAAATTGTTGCAATGACGCTGGTGCCAGGAATTGTTTCGGGGATAAAACCTAGTAGTGACAACACCGCGCTTCACGGATAGACGTCAGTGTCAGCGCATCTTAACCACACTTGCCAAACTGACTGCGACAAAGCCCAGACTTGAGGCAAGGGTAAGTTTCCATAAATAAATCCATCGCATATCGTGTTCGGGCCGTGTCCACAAAAGCCTGCATCATGAAGTGTCACTATGAAGTGCTGCAGCTGAGCCAGGATGCCGATGACAGTGAAATAAAGACGGCGTACCGAAGACTGGCGCTCAAATTGCACCCCGACAAGAACCTGGATAACCCGGAGCTGGCCAAGGAACAGTTCCAGACGGTGCAGCAGGCCTATGAAGTGTTGAGTGACCGACAGGAGCGAGCCTGGTATGACGCGCATCGGGATCAAATCCTCCGAGGGACCGATTCAGAGTTCCAGGACCAGAGCCTGGATGTGTTTCCCTACTTCACAAGCAGCTGCTTTAAGGGCTTCGGCGACGACGCTCAGGGCTTCTACACGATTTACCGCACTGTTTTCGAAGCAATTGCCAAAGAGGACTTGGAGTTCATGGACGACAAGGAGGAGTTCAGTGAAATTCCAGGCTTTGGTTGTGCGGACAGCGACTACGAAGCTGTTAAGCTCTTCTACGATTACTGGATGAGCTATTCAACGAAAAAAAGCTACACTTGGCTGGACCCGTACGACGTCAGGGATGGTAAGTGTTTGGCTCAGGCTCCGATTCGATGAGTCACATTTTCGTCTTCTTCCAGTCAAAGGGAACAGGAAAGTGGAGAAAATTGCTGACAAAGAGAACAAGAAGGTCAGGACGAAGGCGCGCAAGGAGCGCAATGAGGAGGTGAGGAAGCTGGCAGCTTTTGTGCGAAAAAGGGACAAGCGAGTGCTGGCATACAAGGATCAAATGGAATCCAAGGTGCTGGAAAACAGGAAGAAACATCAGGAGCTCGGCAATAGAAAGAAGCTGGAAAGGGCTGAGATGCACGCCAACGAGAAGCAAGCCGAATGGTTGAAATTCGACAATGTCCAGGACGAACTGGAGGAAATAGAAGCACAGCTGGCCGAGCAATTTGGCGAGAGTCTGCTTCTGGAGGGATCCGAAGAAGATGACGACGAATACAACAGCTTATTCTGCAGAGTTTGCATGAAACAGCTGAAAAACCCCACCGCCTTCCAGAACCATGAAATGAGCAAAAAACACCGGGAAACTAACCGGAGACTGCAAGAAATTTTGCTGGAAGAGCAGCGAGCGAGGCAACAACACGCGTTTGGATTACCAAAGCCAGAACTAAACTGCAGCGACTCAGATGGTGAACAACCGCCCACAGAAGCAGAACCGGACGAAAATCCAGTCTCCGATCCGGATGAGCAGCAATCTTTCAATAGCAACAGCAAAAAATCGAATAAACCACCAGTTGAAGAACGTGAAGAGATCCCGAAGCAAAAGAAACCGACGAAAAAGCGCAGGAAAAAAGACAAAGCTGATGAACCGAGTGGAGACCACAATGACATCGATCTAGCACACTGCTGTGCTACATGCAAGTGCAGTTTCTCTTCTAAAAACAAGCTCTTTGACCATTTGAAAGCCACCAATCACGGCGTTTATCTGCCCGCCAAAGACAAACGAACTAGAGGGAAAAACTAAAAAAGTTTGCAGCACCTGTTTTATATTTTAGTGCGATTGGTTTAATCAGTTTGTGCTTAGGGACTGGGCGAGGCCCCCGAATTGTTTATCTGATACGAGCGAGTAAATTGATTGTTTGGAAAATGCTGATTTTTTCCCCAATTACAACCCGAAAGCGCTTGGAAGTTTAAAATAATAAGAAGTTTAGTCTATAGAAAAATTGGCGAAATTGACGGTTTTCGCCTCAAAAGGTGCTACCAAATCTACCTTGTAAGAGATTAGTATTGTCCGATCAAGCCTAAGGAGCGAAGGATCATTCAAAAAACGGTTACCAGAACTCGTCAACTTTCGGACTAAAACTGGGTAGCTGTGGACTGCGCCAAATCGGCTTTCAGCGCTTTAGCTAACAAGTCAATCTTGCGCTTAGTGAGCTTTAACTTCCAGTGAACAACCACCTGGTAGGGATGAATCAACTACCCAAGCGCGCCCTCAACTACCCATCAGCCGAACGCAATAAAAGCTTCATCCTCAAAGTGCTGAAGGAGCACATTGTCGGCAGCGATGCTGTCAGCATGTTGGAGGTGTCTTCAGGGACGGGACAGCATGCTGGACATTTTGCAGCCAACCTTCCCAATGTCACCATTCAACCCACTGAAGTGGACGAGAGTCTGTTCGAAAGCATCACAGCCTACGCCGGACAGGTAAGATCCGTCTGTGCAGCCCAGTGCAATTTTCTTCTCGGTAGGTGTTTCATTTCTTCAGGTTGTTTAGCCAGGGGGAGACATGCATATACGCGCTTTCTTTCCGTTGATTTTCCCCTGTATGAGCTGCAGCTATGAGCAGAGATTAGTAGAAATCGCCGATGGGCATAGGCGAAGCGGTCCAGCCATATGCAGCCGTTTTCTCCCGAAAGAAACACACAAGTTAGAAGTAGTGTAGGGGAGGTAAGTAGTGGGGTTTCCAACGGTCGATTAGTGTTGATGTAAACTGCTCCGATGCACGCAAAAATGCATGCCAAGGCTTAAAGCAGCAACAACGCTACACATAAAAACTGATGATGGTGGAAAAATACACCGAAACGTATTTTAATTGATAAATAGAGACAATAAATGACTGAAACCCAGGAATTAATTTTGATTTGGAATTGAAACAGAGTCAGGAAAGTATGTACTAATAAGTAATTATATATGAAAGAAAGTCGTTGTGGTATATCAGCGAAAAATGATGGACTTCTCCAAATAATTTTCGTTCATAGCAACGTTATCAGCAAGCCAATAGTTTTTTCTTTTTAACTTTAAACGAATTCTGGCGAGATAACTATTTTCCAAAAGAAAATCATCCATTATTATTAACAGTTGTATAGTTACTACGAATAAATTACGATGAATAAATTACGGCGAATAAAGGTGCTTATTTGACACAACATTCACAATTTGTGCGATAAGAAAAGTTTCAGGTGACGCACATATGCGAAATCTTACGATTTTGCCCGAACTGCGCTCGTCACAAAACTCATGCAACGCACGACAGGCTTAACCGGTAATGTAAGATGCGCATAGATAAATACGAGTACGATGCGCACGATCCCCACTATTTACCTCTCCCACGCTGCTTCAACGTAGTCATAGTTCGGGGTGCCCGCCGCAGTGGCGCTTTTTTCTATTTTCTAACTAATCTCTGCTATGAGTAGCTGAACTCATCTTCTTGTAGTGTCCAGGACTCTGCTCATTATTAGACCCTTTCTGGTTGCAGTTGCATTTCTAAGCAAATGGTCCCTATTTCATTAGGTTCCTGGAGGCAATATGAAAAACCCAGTAAAACTGGACGTACTGGACGGTCCTTGGAAGCTGGACACAACCTATCAGTACCTGCTCAACGTGAACATGTTCCACGTGGCGCCATTCAGTTGTGCAGTGGCGCTTTTTACGTACGGCAGCCAGGTAACAATTGCGATTTTCACTTAATGTGAGTTAAAACTAATCCCTAACTAGGTTCTAATCCCGGGCGGCTTGATGTTCACCTATGGGCCTTACGCGGACCAGGGCCGAATCGAGCCCCAGTCCAATGTCGACTTCGATCGCGCCCTTAGAGGGCAAAACCCCGAGTTTGGCCTACGCGATATTCAGGACTTGAAAGCAGTGGCGTCCCAAGTGGGAATCTCTCTGAAACAGGCGCATAACATGCCGGCAAACAACAAGGTCCTGGTGTGGGAGAAAGTGGCCAACTGAGGCAATCCGATGGGCTTTCAGCGTGTTGATGGCAGTTTTTATTATAAAAGCCAACGAGAATCACAATATACGGACTTTCACGCGATTATCCAAGCCCCTCTATACAGGGTGATTGAAAATTTGCGTCATTCCGTTCAGGGGGAAGATAACTAACATAGTATTTGTGCTACTCAAACAGAAATTTTCTCGAGGCGGATTAATTTTTTACAAACTTTTTTTGGGTATTTCGCCTCAAAAATGTTTGTCTTTAAAAAGGACAGAATTTCCTCACGTCTTTTATTACAGATTGATAAATAGTGCTCCTATTTCGCAATAAGAACGAATTATTTATCAAGAACTATCACCTAGAGGGTATCCTGCGACATATACTGTATTATCCTACTATTGTTACACAATTTATTAACATACTCTTTTTAGGTTCATTTAGGTTCTTTCGATAACGATAGCAGAAAATAGCTATCGACACGTC